CTGAAGGATGCTTGCTGATGAACATTAATTTCCTGAAGAAACTTGCTTTGTTTGTGTAAGAACTGAGCCGTCAGCATGAAGGTCTAGTGAATTTCTTAAAATTTTCCAGTCTGCATCAATGTTTGTGTTGTTGCATGGGCTCCGGAAGAGAATAATCATCGAGAAATAAAAAGCTAAAACCAACCAACAAAACCTCTCAAGGGTACAGCATCGCTAATGTTAGGATGAGCTGTTTCAGAGTGTGTCAAAACTGTGATACACGGCAGGAATGGGGCTCAATCGTCCAAGCCAAATAAAGTATCGCCGACTGTTAGCTGTAAGCTAAGACCTTAAGTGCCATTTGTTTGTTGAGTTTTGCCACTCTAAATTGCTCTGTTTGGCACCAGACCTCTAAAAGTATTTATAGTTTAATTGCTATGTGGTTTATTTTAAATTATATTAAGACGATCTGCTTATATTAAAATGACATGCTTTCCAAAACCTAATATTCCCTTAAAAACATTGTTGTATTGGAAGGGGGGTGGTTGTTTCAAAATGTTATTCTAAAACATCCAGAGTAGAGATTTCAAACACCCAGTCCAAATTCTACAAATTTGATTATGCCCAGCTCTCAGGACAACGTTATAAAATAGTCATCTCTTTTATGCATGCGCTGAGTTTGGGGCTTTGGGGAAATGTTTTTGATGAGTGTTATTTCTTAGTCCCGCTATTTTTTTTTTTTGTCCTCACTGTGACACAATCAGTGCAGGGCTCTGAGCGCCATAGCCTTTATCCATATATAGCCAGGCAAGGCGTTCTGCTGTTAACTAGAACTTGGGAGCGCTTTGTAGAAGTGCACTGCTATTCTCGAGCAAGCCGGGAGAGTTTAAAAACATTATTGTGAAATGTGCTTCCTTTAAGTCAGAAGAACTTAATTAAGTTCCCAGGGTTAATTGTTTCTGAAGTGTTAACGTGTCATTTGTCTGTTCAAACTCCAAAGCAAATCTAATACGGGATTTAATAACCTGTTTATGTGAATAGAAATTCGGGTGGGGGTGGCGTGGGAGAAGCGGGGGGGGGGGGGAGCTAACAAGCTTTTAGCTAGTTAGTGGGTTTCAGGAGGAACTCTTTCTTCCTGTCTTCATCTGAAACGAAAGGTAAATCCTACCTTTGAAACTCCTCCTGCGGGGGATGAGTTGGGATGACAAGGAAATTTGGGGACAAAACCTAGTATGTTTTAGACTTTGTTCATTTCATATTTATCACTAGCTTGTTTGCTAATTTTCATTTGCAAGAGGCAATTCTTCCAGCTAACCGGGTGCCTCAATGGGCCACTGATTTCTTTGAAGTGACAGTCTGTAAATATGCATAAAAAAGGGATGCAATTAGCGCGTGTGTGGTTCAGTGCCGCCTGATTCCATTGGCAAGTTTACCCACACTGTTGATAAGCTGCATTATCTAGAAAATTGGCCGCTGAACAACAGCACCTCTGATTGCCAGCAAAGGTTCCAGATAACAGGGTGCTGAAGAGAAATATAATTGAGGTTGAATATATTAACCAAGGTGTCACATGCTCCTTACAAGCTCTAATTTATCAGCATGTTGGAATTTTTATTAACATTTGGAATGCATTTCCACCACGCTAATGAAGTGGAATTGGCAGTCCAGCCTTTCGTTATTGTCATGTCTGAGAAGTTAAATGTAATTTCTCGTTAGACACAGTTATGTAAATATATTTGTTCAGGGGCTAAAAAAGTTAGACATTTTGCAAAACACAAATATGCTGTTAAGGGCAGTGTGACAAATCAGTGATGGCTCACGGCCTGAAAACCAGCCACAGAGTCACGTTGTATTCTGTACAGTGCCATTCTTCTGTGTGTGTGTGTGTGTGTGTGTGTGTGTGTGTGTGTGTGTGTGTAGGGGATTTGTGGGGACAAAATGAAGGAAGGTTAATTTTATTATCTCTGCGACCTGCTCACCATTGTGAAACACAGTTTAAATTAACCACTGTTTCAGTAGACTTCTGCACCCAAAAGGACTTCCCGATGTAAGTGAGAACTCAAAGTATAAGGTGAATTAAGCATTCATGGAAAATGCCTGCTTCCCCTGCCCCATTCTCCTTAGAAATAAACCAAGACTTCTCTCTTCTTTTCTAATTCGAACAAGTACATTTTGAAAGACATCGGCAGACAAGAATGTGAATTTCTGTGCCTTAGATATTAATTGAGGTGTACAAATTGGAAAATATTTCAGGTTGTATGCTTGTGTGATAAAATGATATTTTAAGCAGGGCAGCATACAACCTAAAATTGGGGATAATAGTTTAGTTGGAATGAAAGAGGGGCAAGCAATGAAGGTGTTAGAAGAAATGTGTTGGTTGCCTCAATTGTCTCTTGAGGTGGAGTTTCAATAGTTGCTTGATTACTATAATTTACAATTATATGTGTATGATGTGTATGTTTGCAAATCACTCCATAAACCATTTTACAGACAAAATAAATCAATTTTTATTGACTCAAAGATTTTGGTTTTCTATGGAAATGCTAAAAAGGTGTAATCTACAGAACACTGTGTGTCCCCTTCCTGCTCAGTATTAGTCTCAGATAGCTGTGACCTCAGGGAATAATGCCACCATTTCCCCTCCATCAGTAATAGACATGGGAATACAGGAAGAACTTCCTTTAAAATAACCAATGAATGAGAGACCCTCTCAGCTTTCTCTTTGCCTTCATTTCTTTTTTTTTAAATTAAATGTGTGTGTGTATGTGTACATGTATGTGTGTGTATGTGCATGTGTGTACATGCGTGTATGTGTGTATGTATATGTGTAGGTGTGTGTATGTGTATGTGCATGTGGGTGTATGTGTGTATGTGTGTGTATGCGTATGTGTGTGTATGTATAAGTGTTGATGTGTGTGTATTATATGTGTGTATGTATATGTACATGTGTGTGTGTGTGTGTGTATGTGTGTGTGTAGGGGGGGAGGTATGTGTGCAGACATCCATGACATACATTTGGAGGTTAGAAAACAACTTCCTAGCATCAGTGACCTTCTGCCAGTGTGTGTCCTGGGATCACACTCAGAGTGTCAGTCTTGGTGGCAGGTACTCTTACCTGCTGAGCCATCCATGCATGCCTCTATACTCAGTTGTCTTTCTTTCCCTTTTGCACAGGGTCTCATGTAATAAACTCATATTGTAGGCATATACTACTATACTGGGCTTATGCGGTGCTAAGGTTTAAACCCAGAACCTCATTATATGAACACTATCCTGGCTGAGCTACTTTGTTAGTCCTTGGCATTTACTTCTTAGCTACTTGCAGCTCTCTATTGTTCTATCCTATAGTCTCCCAAAGTCATTTGATTTTCCTCTGCTGACTGCCGCAGCTCCTGGTGACATTCCTAATCACCACTGCAGTTCTTCCATGACTGTTACATGCTCATCTTCTATCACGATAACCACAGGGGGAACTCAGACTTTCCGTGGCAGAGTCTCATGCTTCTTTGGCAGAGGTTCTTTGGATGCCCTTTGTGGTTGATGATGCTAAAGGTAATTCAGCATACATTGTACTTTTTTTCTCTAATGTCACTGAGTGACTTAAACAAAACCAGCGGTGACCAGGCTCCCTTGCAGCTAGGGTTCTGAGAAACATTAGATTTCAGCAAGTAAATGTAGGGACCGTGGGGATTGGATATCTCGGTGCTGCTTACTAACTTACTGGGTTTTCAGGGACAGTGGTGATCACCTTAATTCTAGGTTTTGACTTCATCATATTGTCTTTGAACTCAGTTCCCTGACAATGTTCATTTCCCCGCATTCCTGAGCAAGGCAGACATTGAGGTTCCCCTTGTAGGCAAGTTTGTCAGTATAGTTGCATCACTCCACTCACTTCTTGGCCCTTTCAACCATTTTTGCAAGACCTGCATTCCAGGTTTTCAATCCACTTCTGCTTCAGAGATTTGGTTTTGAACACAGGAACACTGAGTCATAAGACTGAGTTCAAGGTGAAAACAAAAATGATGCTTTGAAAGAGAAGTTCATTGGGGGTGGAGGGATGGCTCAACAGGTAAGAGTGCCTGTGACTCTTGCAGAAGATTTGGTTCTGTTTACCACCATCCACATGGTGGCTCACAATCCTCTGTAGCTCCTGTCCCAGGAGACATGACTCTCACTTCTGGCCTCTGTGGGTGCTGCATGCATGTGTTGTACAAACATACCTGCAGGCAAAACACTCATACACATAAAATAAATGAACCTTGAAAGTGGAGCTTATTTCCATGGCTGTTGGCAGTGTTCCCTTAAATTTTGTACCATGGACACCCCTCTTACCTCACTCCAGTGTTGGCCCAACTCAATAAATTAAACAGGACACATTATTATAAAAACAACTGAATCATATCCACAGCAGATCTTGGCAATAATGTAATCCACGGACCCATTTGTAAATAAAGTTCACCTGGAGCCCAGCTGTGCTGTTCTTGTACATGTCTGTGGCTGCTTTCCTGCCAAAGTATCAGGATTGAGATTGCCAAGCAGAAAGGAACCCAACATTTACAGAAACCGTTGCTGGCTCTTGCTCCTCAGCACTGTGGGTGTCACTTATGTTCTGAACTAAGATTGCCGTATATGTCTTTGTCTAGTCACTCAAGCTCCAGGTAGTGGAGCTAGCCACAGCCAACCATAGGTATCTCTCCCCAGTTCTGGGATCATTGATCCTCTCAATGGCTTGAAATCTGCACCAATGGGAGTATTTACACCAGGAAAATTGGCAAGCACTACACATCAATACCCCCTCCCCTCAGACAACTCCACTAATCCAATTCTGTTTTCAGAATGATGTTGAAGAGGAAATGAGGATCCCCCTCTGTAGACCGTCATCCTCCAGCATACCACCCCAGCTGCTCTGAGTTCTGCAGCTGATGCTTACACCTAGGAGCTCTCCCGAGCAATCATAGATTGCAGATGGGAGAGAGAGAGAGAGAGAGAGAGAGAGAGAGAGAGAGAGAGAGAGAGAGAGAGAGAGAGAGAGAGAGAGAGAGAGAGCTCCAAAACCCAGCTCTTTTGCTCCAGAAAGCCACTTCTTTTAATAAGACTGGACCCTGCAGGTGAACTCGATCTGGGTATGTGTTTTCCTATCTTGCTTCATGTCCATTGCAAGCCTGTCTGATATTTTACTTCCAGGTTCCCTTTCCCCACCCCAACCCAAGAAACACTTTCTGTATAAAACACTAGCTACAGCATTCTGTTATTTGTTCACAGTAACGTGCATAATTTTTCTAATCTACAACTCACTATTTTTCTGCGTATGAATTTTTCTTTCCATGTGTCTACATCCTCTAACTTGTTATCTGTATGATTACGTACTCAATAGATTTGGCAGACATACAAAATTAATATAATGTTACTGTAAACCCGAGGAACGTAAAAATATAGGTGACTAGTGGATTTGGACTTCTTACTAAGTGCCCAATAAATGACTATTCGGAGCCAAAGTCTCATTTCATTTGCAGTTCAGGAGGGTGGATACATTCTACATGAGATGCCCACAGAAAAAAAACATTTCTTTAACTCTTCAGCTGACTTTTAGCTGTTGTGTCACTAAATGTCTACTGGTTTCCAGCCAGTTTAGTTCACAGATGTTGTCATGCCTGGTGTCAGTAAACCATTTGCTATCTCCATAGTTCCTCACCACTCTTTGCAATTCTCTAACTTCTTTACTAAACAATCTTTCTCCTCACCATTACAGTTAGCTGTAGGCAGGCAGGCTCCTTATAGTCATCATACTGTACAGCCACCCTTGCACACGGGGTACACAGCGACAGTGTGTTGCCAGGACCCTGTGTATCCATGGAAGGTGAGAGTGTAGGAATAGCAAGGATCCAATACATATTTTTAGAGTGAGTGAATGAACACATTTATGGAAATTTGCCTGTACTTTGTTTGAATCTGAGGAAGTGTAGAGCAAGGATTAGATAGTAATTCCCCCTTTATGTCCTGAGATCTTCAACGATGCCTGAGACTGTAACTAGTGCTGAGCCTTCTACCTGCCTTCTTGTTTTTCTCATGCAAAGAACATAAGTTTACTGCCCTTTCCAGCCTATTAAGTACTTACCACAGATGTGGCTGTGACTTCTACAGTTGAGGTCTGATGGTAAAATGCATATCTCTTTTTATTTTGTTGCTACCAGGAATCAAACAAGGGACTTCAGGCATGCTAGTTAAATGTATATGATGGTGAAATGTATGCAAACTTTTTTTCCTTTGTTGCTACTGAGGATTGAACCTGAGACTTCATGTGCACTGGGTACATGCTGTACTGCTAAGCACTATCTCCCCAAGTATAGCACATTTTGTTTGTCACAAACTCATGAATAGATGATTCATTCTTATCACAGGTCTTAGCAACATATAATTGTTATTGAGTCAAGACCTTTCACTTTTTTGCAAGAAGACAAAGGGAGTATGTTATAGCGCGTGTGTGTGTTTGTGTGTGTGTGTGTGAGTGTGTGTGTGTGTGTGTGTGTGTGTGTGTATTTGAGTTGGCAGCATCACTGTTGAGCTTCAGGGCTGTTCTTACTGTATGGAATATTAGAGCACAAGCCCTGGACTCCTGCTAGAGTCAATCAAATAGTATGGATGCATTGGCTGCTGGGGTGAATCCTGTTCTAGGTAGATGGAATGTAAGTGTACAGGATTTATTGTACCCAGTCCAAAACTTTCACCTTACTCATTTCTGGATAAACTTTGTATTGTACTTTCTGATTGTGGTAACTGAAGCTGTGGAAAGTAAAACTGAGGATGGGGGAGGATAGAGTTATTGTATATACAGAGAATCTTTCCCGAAGCTCTTCCACAAATGGAAGATGCAGAAACCATTCCACACCTGAAATTGACAGTGAGATCCAAATTCTTGATTTCAGAAGGACTCAAGACATCAGGACAACGATGAATTTAGGAGAAATACTAGAGTCAAAATGGTTAGTGTGATATTCATAGTGGCCCAGGGTTGACTCAGAGAAGGCTGTATTTATGTCAGAGTTGTTCCCTTGTGCAGGTGCTGGGGGCCCTGGTGAAGATCCCATTGGTACAGCAGCAGGGATCCTGAGTTGAAGGTGACAGCAAACTCCATCTTGATGTTGCCATGATTTCACAAAGGGTTCCAAATGCCACTTCAGAGCTGAATAGCCCTGTGTGCTGGAGGTTGTGGTAAGCATAAGGCAGGTGAGTGTTTAGAGGCTGCTGCAGTTCACATGAGAAGAATGTTCCTTCTGTTTGCTGATACAGTGAGCACTTGCCTGAGGTTTCATTAAAAAAATCTCAAACCCAGGAATTGAGAATTAAAGTAGGATTCCAGACTCCAAATGAGAACAGATGGACACCTGCACACTTTCCAGAGGGTTGAGATAATTTAGCCTTTGGGCAAGCAACATCTGTCTCTTGGCTTCCTGAAATGACATTCATAAAACAGTATCAAAATAAATATCCTTCACAAAATCATGCAAACACTCACATTCCTCCAGGCTTAGTAGATAAGTCATGCTTAGTAACTACTTCATTTGACCTTATCTTGACTTTGGGAAAAAATAAATGGCTGAAGGTCACTTCTGCTTCCTCTGGTAATAAGATCATTGTGTTATGGCCAGTATGTTGTCTCTCAGTGTTCATTCACCTTTATATCTTTGGCCCCTAATAACATTGTCTCTGGACCCAAATTCTATTCATCCAGTCATCCATCATGGAGTGGATGCTAAACACTCGCTGTAGGGTAAAGAGGCAACTTGGACTAGCCTGACTCCTGCCCCCTTAAAATGTATATTCTCCAGGAAGAGACACAGTTAAATAACTGTGCAACACAATGTTAATGTGGATGTGATTAGTAAATACAGGGTCTTCTGGAGCATCTACTCAGGAGATATAACATGAACCAGGGAATTAGGGAACTTGGTAGCAGCGTCTGGGCAGAAATTCCATTTTTTTCCCCCTGAAGAATTGAAGGGGAACTGGAATTGACCTGGAAGTTGATGGAAGAGGTGATTTAGGAGGCACTTGGTATATTCTCAAGCTTTTTTTTTTCTTAGAAAAATGGCCCATTAAGTTAACTTAGATTCTAGGATGTTGTGAGTCTGGGAATTTCTGTGTGCAAGTGTATGTATGTGTAGGGGTGCTCAAGTGTCTGGGTACATATGCAGGCCAAAGGAAAACCTCAGGGCCATTCTTCCCTAGGTACCGTACCGTCTACTAGTTGTTTTGTTTTATTTTGTTTTTGAGACTGTCTATCTCATTGGTCTGAAACTCCCTGGTCGGTTAGGCAGACTGACCAGAGAGCCCCATGTACCTGGATTCACCTATCTCTGCCTTCTAGATGCAGGAGTAAAAGCACATGCTTCTGAGTCCCTGTTATTGTTACACGGGTTCCAGGAGCCAAATCTCCAAGCTTGTGCGGCCGTCCGTCTCCCCAGCTTCAGATGCTGGATCTTTTATTCTCTCGTTTGCACTCACTTGTCAGATGCTTACAAAGGACAACAATGCCATCAGAGGCAAAAATGCAGAGCAATGAAAAGCAGTATGAGCCCAGTTCTGCCCCTTGCTTAGCTGGGGGCGGGCGGCATTCTTATTTTCTTGCCTTGTCTGTGAACCCGGACTCCCAGTGAAGTAGAGGATGAAAGGTCTCCTCATGTCCAATCCCGATGGAAAGACTATTCCCAACAGTCTTCTGAGCTATGTGGGGTTACTCGCTCCATTTCTCTGCTGCAGAAACTGAGGCTAGAGAATCAGTAGCTTGTTCCAGATCTCTTTGACTCACGGGTGACAGTGAGTCAAACCCAGCCTGCCTGCAGATTCTGTGTGTCTTGCTTTGTAAAATGGTGAGCCTAGCAAGCCCCAGGAAAGGGAGCCAGAATAACCCCTATTTCACTCTCCCTGGCTACTGGGGAATCTAGCTTCTCAAAGACCTTTGACGGTCTGTGGTGCTCTGAGGAGCATGTGACTTACTGGAAGGAAAGCATTCCGTTTCACTAAGGAGCTCAGCATTGTGACTATTTGCCAGAACTGGTTGTCTTGAAAGGATTTTATTGTTTGCCATTTGGTTTTCATTCGGAGGCCACATGTGAATGTAACATAAATACTTGTGAAGGGATATCATTACTCTGAAGCCTGAAGTTTACATGTCAGCTCCCTGTCTTTACAGCCATCGCTGTGGGTCATTTCCCTCTTGCTTCAGCCAAGCACTTGGAAAATCATTCTCAGACACAGATTTCTCCATCAGCCACAGCCCCGAATTCTAGCAGTCAGGGAAAGGACTGGGGGGATCATGTATGCCAACCCAACCTTCTGTCTGCATTTCAAACCTTGCCTTGCACTGTGTAAAGACATGCCAAGACTGTGGATTCTAAGTGCAGCACCCCCATCGCATGGGGTTCCCTGGTTCTTTCCCGCTCCTGTAAGCATCAGGGTAAATACCTGCTCCAGACAGTGCGACTTAGTTCATCTTGTCACCTTTCCCTGAAACTCTTCTTTGGCTGACTCCTATATTGTAAATAGAATTCAGCTACCTCACTTCCTGTCTGTCTGTACAGACCTCCAGACCTCTGTGGTCAGCTAGTGGTAGGCTCCATTCTCTGACCTTCAGACAGGCTTTATTTGTACAAGCAAGTACAAGTATCACCACACCCCAGACACCATGCTATATAGTATTTTGAATGCCCTTCCCATTGTGAAAAGTAACTAACCTTAAATTTAGCCTTTAGAATTTGTCACACAATGTGTAACTGCATTTTTCCATTTGCCTGCTGCTCCCTCCGGTCCTCCTTCTTTCTCCCCTCCCTGCCTTCTTTTTTTTTTCTTCCTTCCTTCTTTATAGACAGAATCTCATGTATCACAGGCTAGCTTCAAGCTCCCTATATAGCCAACAATGGCCTGGAATTTCTGACCCTCCTGCCTCTACCTCCTGAGTGCCAGGATTACAGGGATGGGCTACCACACCCCAGTTACATGGTGCTGAGACTGAACACTAGGCAAACTCCCTGCAACAGAGCTGTATTCCTGGCTCCCTTTTCTGTCTAAATGTTCATGAGATACATTTTAATGATCCTCTGAAACTGGAAACTATAGATCAAATAAAGAGTCGATAAATATGGCCTGAGGCATGAATGGGTGGAAACACTGAGAATTACTTGCCCCATTCCGGCTATTTCCATAATGCAGGTGCACCTGGGATCATCACGACCAGAGACCTCAGCACTCGCGGTACAGTACATCACACATGCACTTTAAACTGAGTCCCACTCCAAACTTCAGTCATCCGCTCAGCTCTGTTGCACCAGATTAGATTTGCTGCTCCTGGTCCTCCCGTTTGGGAGTTGCTTTCCAGCTTAAGATCAATGCAGACAGTGGAGTGCAGGAGTCCTAGGAGCTCGGGAAAGGGGTGCTGTCTCAGCACCGTGTACCAGCGATGACCCCCAAGCCTTCTGCTGCAGCCTTCCCAGAGCCAAGTAAGGATAATGTGGTGAACAAGAATGGATCTGAAACAGAAACCCCCATTTCCATTGGCACTAATTAACAGGACTGAGAAAAGTTTTCGCAAGGAGAGGCGAAATCACACAGACTAGTTCTATTTATGAGGGAAATAACAGTGGCCTGTGAACCACTGGATGAAATTTGACAGTATTGTTTTCCTTTTCTCTCAAAGGATGCACAGGATTGAAGAGGGGACATTTATTCCTAACTTAAGTAACAGAAGAAGGGTATAAAGCCCCTCGCCTGTGCCTGCCTATACTCATAGATCCTGCCCTTGTGTTGAGTTACTCACCTAGGTACCTCCGTACCTCTTTCCACCAAACTCAGGATTCCGACACCTTATTGCTCCCGGGCAACAGCACCAGCACGTGCTGTGAAGCAGGCTCGCTGCAGAAATCACTTACTTTCTAGAAAATTCTATACTTGTATGGTTACCATCCCTAGTGTGGAGATGACACTGGAGACAGTGAATAACCAGCTAATTCAGGGTTATGCTATTACCACTCTTAGATAAAAGGTGTGTACTCAAGAAACAGAGTGTCTTAGCTAAAGCATGGGTGTGGTGGGTAGACCCAGAGAGTCAGTGGGGGGAGGTAAGAATTCGGGATACAGAGAGAGTTACTATGTGCAGCTAAAGAGAACAAAGGGCATGGTTCAGGGCACTCCCAAATCAAACCACAGCATTCCCTTTCCACCTGTGTGTGAGTCTGAACTTATCCACATACGGAATAGATAACCTAGTTTTCACTAAACTTCCCCATTAAAAACACTGCTTTTAGACAATGATACTAAGCATTTTAGATTGGTCATGGTGCAGTAGTAGCTGCTTTTCTCTTTGGTGTGACAAAATGCCTGAGAGAGGCAAAGAAAGGAGGGCTTTGTTGTCACTCATAGTTCAGGGTTCATGGTGGTGTACAAGATCTGGCAGAGGGCATGGCTTGTTGCTGTGGCAGCAGGAGTGCCAGGCTTCTTGACTGGATCAGGAAATGGAGAAAGGGAAATTCTGGCATTTACTTGGATTCATGCTTTCTTATTTTGTTCTCATTTCCTTGAGCACTAACCAATGGGATGATGTGACCCACTGTCAATGCAGGTGTTCCCGCCTCAGTGATTCCTCTGTGAAAATTCCTCCCCCTATATTATAGACAGTGCTCAGCCTCACTAGTATTTCCATACATTATACACAGTGCTCAGCCTCACTAGTATTTCCATACATTGTAGACAGTGCACAGCATCACTAGTATTTCCATACATTATAGACAGTGCACAGCCTCACTAGTATTTCCATACATTGTAGACAGTGCACAGCATCACTAGTATTTCCATACATTATAGACAGTGCACAGCCTCACTAGTATTTCCATACATTATAGACAGTGCTCAGCCTCACTAGTGCCCCCTACACATTATACACAGTGCTCAGACTCACTAACACCCCCACAAACATTATACATAATGTACACCATTACCAGAATACCCACTCACACACATTATACACAAGGCATAGCCTTATCAGTACCAAGGCACTTCTTAATCAAGTTGACAATTAAAAGCAAACATCACAGCCATCTAATAACTGACTATGGGTTTCTTATCAACATTGCTTTTCAAGTATCAATTCTAAAGCCAATTTTAATGTTTTCAGAAAATGATGATTGCATACAGCAGGTCATTTGGACAAATGATCAGTCTGCTCTGAAGAAAGC